AAACAAGCCTGTGCACAGAAATAAAAGCAAAATCAGAAGAAAAATGTGAACCTAAAGCAAAAAAAAGTAAAAGCACACAAACTCAGCCTATGCGAGCGAGAATTGTCCCATAAAAAACCGTCATCGTTAGGGAACTTTCCGATTTATTAAACTGATGCTTAGGTAAAGCTGAGAGCTAATAAGTTCCATTAAGCGAGCAAGAAAAGTGTAGACTGGATGAACAGAGGTGAAGTCACGTGGTTCCCACGTAGAGGCCCGTGGTAGTTTTTTTACGTACAAGCTACTAACTCGGGAACCGGAAAAGCTAGAAAACTGAAATTTTAGGGGCCTTCACTTCTGTGAGATTTTGAAAGCAAAAAGGTAGAGGTATAACTGTTGTGTAAAGTTGCAAGCTGCAGCAAGCAACACTATGGAATTTTCTGCAATTCTTGTGTAAATCCAATCGAATTTGTTTGCCCTCACCTTCACCTAAACATAAGTTTCAGTAAATCCTGTCGGAATTATTTGCTCTCAGCTTCACCTAAGTATAGACCTCATAAATGCGGGTACCGCTTACTGAAGATGGGTTTTTGTAAGACAAATCTTACTCGCATAAGCTCAGTTTTTGTTTGCTTTTGTTTTTTTTTTTTTTGCTTTTGGTTACAAGCTCCAATTCTTTGATTATGCTTTTTCCTTTTATTCACAAATTCAGGTTCGTTTTAATTTACTTTTCTTTGTAGTGCCGTATTGGTTTATTTCCCTCTTTACTGCTATCTGTTGTTCTTGCTTCGAACTCCTGATCCGCACCCTTCTTCCTCTCCTGTATCCCATCCCCAATTCCTGCCGCCAGAGTCGTTTCGGGGCACCCACCACTTCCAACCACTGTCAACGTTTATCATCCTGAGCTTCTAACCAGCAACTTCATTCCTCCCCACTATCCCGGCCTCAATCGCGCCCTCGTAGCTGTATCTGGGCAACTACCAACCAACACTACCCAGCCACGTCCAATCCTCCCGTTCGTCATCCCCAACTCGTCTAATCCTTCTACCCATCACCCCCGGCAACGCGATCCAGCCGCCAGATACTAGGCAGCGTTACCCGGCGCTCCTGGCAAAGTTCCAGCGAACGGCGCCGCGAAATAACGTTGGTAGGGATGTTAGGGCAAAGCGCTGGAAGGCCCAAGCAGCAGTTTTAGTAGTTGCCAGGAACGTTGGCCGGGCGGGCCTTTTAGTAGTTGCCGGTAATTGCCGGTGGTTCGCTTCTGGATGTGGTTGCGGTGCACCGGTTGCGTGGGGTTTGTCGGATTGTTGCTTCTTTGACTGTTCTGGCAGTGCTGTGAACGGTTTTTCCCAGATAAAATAGTTGGTCTGGGACGGTGTCGCAGCATGGCTAACCGGGAGGTGGTGGTGGGTGTAGGAGATGCAAGTGCCGCAGGTTAATTTTGTGCTTGCAGCGAACAGAGTTGCGGATGACAGGGAGCGTGGATGAGCAGGTGGGCGCGTCGCAGGCCAGCAGCACTATTACGGAAGATGAAAAGGAGGTGTACGATCGGCAGATACGTCTGTGGGGACTGGAAGCGCAGAACAGGTACGTGAATTGACATGCATGGTTGGGGGGTACCTTTCAGGACACCTCAGTGGTACTACCACGGAACAAGAATCCCACTATTCTTACAAGTCCGCATCTGTGGCTGACATTTCATATCAAATTTCGCTTGTTACAGGCTGCGAAATTCTACGGTGTTGATTGCTGGCCTCTCAGGCTGCGGGGGCGAAGTAGCGAAAAATCTGGTGCTGGCAGGCTTGAAATCCCTGACTTTACTCGACAGTCATAACGTAAGTGAAACTTTTTTGCGATTTCCGCTTTCTGTTATGGCGCTTCCTCTGGGCTCCCTTGATGAATTCGTTGCTGCTGCCAAGATGCCGTTGTGTGATTATCACTAGTGCTTTTCCTTCTGCTGTTTCTTACTTCATTTATTTATTTTTTCCCCTTTATACGCAGTGCACTTATGAGGTTACATCGTCTTATCATGTTGTCAGGTGGTTTAGCCAGCATCTTCGTTTCTTTGCTACTAGCACCTTCTTCCTTGTGCAACTGGTATATAAAATATAAAAATTAGTCAGCGGGTAAGGAATGTTCTGATCGTTCAAGTTTCCTATTCAGCACTACATCCGGATCTCGCTGCTAGGAGAATTGGGATGTTAACAGTATTTAAAACATGTAAAGTATTTAAATGCAAATTTACCAAGCCACATGGCACATTTTATCCCGCACTTTTTGTTACCTTTGTAATTTAAATACTCTATAAAATGCCCCATATAGCTAACAGAAAAAAAAGAGTCAAAACGAGAGAAGGGGACTGCCGCAAGGAAGATGTCTGCATTTTATTAATGTC